AAGCCCCACGCTCCCCCTCCCTCTTTCCCTCCCCCTCCCCCTTCCCCTCTCCCCCTCTCCCTCTCCTCGTAGGTTGTTGGGCTTGAACTCCAGGGCCCGGGTGCTGTTACTGAGCCTCTTTGTGCTCAAGGCAAGTGCTCTACCACTTAAGCCACAGTGCCACTTTTGGCTTTTGAGTGGTTAATTGGAGATACGAGTCTCATGGGGGCTTATCTGCCTCGGTTGGCTTTGAACTGTGATCCTCAGATCCTCCCGAGTCGCTAGGGTTACAGGCACCTGGCTGTTTTGGGGGGGTCGGAGCGGACCCAGGCTGTCCTTAACCTGCAGATCTTGCTGTCTCACCCTCCTGGGTGCTGGGATTGTAGGTGTGCTACCATGTCTCGCCTATACTTAGATTTCCGTGAATGGAATCATCATGTGGAGTTGGGTGCTCTGTCCCCGAGTCCGCGTTTGTGCTTGGATTTAGGTTTGTGAGAAAGCTATCTTGTGTGGAGTGATGAGAGCTTGATAATGAGTTAATAAGTGGCTTGTTAATTGAGTGTGATACTTGAAAGCTCATTCTGCAATGACTATAAGACTAAAGCGTTCATAATCTGAGAATCAGTCTGACTGACCCTTAACCAAGCCTGGGTGGGCCCAAAAAATTTGACATTTTTTTTATGTTATAGCTTTGTAAATTGCGTAGATGTTTGGTATTGGACTAAACTTTAAAAAATTTGTTTCTTTCTTTGTACAGAAATGAGCCACAGGTCATCAGATTTCGCTAAAATCATTAACAACACAGAGAATCTTGTGCGGGAATTGTTGTAAGTTTAAATTCTGTTACTTTGGTCCAGTGCGCCATAAATCTGAATGTTTGTTACCTTGTTTGCTGCGCGCTCCTGTTGGTCCAGAATATTCTATCATTAAAAACCATCTCTTGGAGCCTCTCCCAAATTCACCGTTAGTACAGAAACTCTTAGACTTGGTCCCAGCCTGCATTTGTGTGTTGTCATTTTCATTATAAGTTGTATTTCTAAAGGTGCTGGACCATTGTGTGTAGAAGGTCGTTCTCTCTGTGACATGGCAGGGGAGTTCTTATCTAACTCTGGGGGCTTAAATACGGCCTTCTGTCATCTGTTAGTCACTTGGTTGAGGGTAGATATGAAGAAGTTCAGGCAGGTGCCAGTGGCTCACACCTGTAATCATAGTTACTCAGAAGGCTGAGAATCATGGTTTGAAGTCAGCCTAGGTAGGAAAGCCCGTGAGACTTTTATGTCAAGTTAACCAAAAAAAAACGCCAGAAGTGGAGCTGTGGTTTAAGTGGTTTAAGCCAAAGAACTCAGGGACAGCGCCCAGTCCCAGGACTTGAAGGGCCTAGCATCTGAATGACATATCATAGCCTTGCCCTCTGGCCCTTCCTGCTGCTAAGAATCTCTCGGTGGGAATCCTGTAAGTCCTGCCTGGATGCTTTGCTGTTTTTCTGAGCACAAGTCATAGGCCAGGCACAGTTCAGAGCAAGATATCTTCACAAAAACTTAATTCCCAACACGGTACCACCTTGCTCTGCCCTTCCTTAATTATTTTATTTATATGTCTGTGCTCAATTGTCCCAGTCCATTCTGCTTTCTTAGATCTTAGTGTAGTGGCTCATATCTGTTAAGTCCAGGTACTCTGGAGGTAGAGATTGGGGAGGATTGAGATTCAAGAGCATCTTGGTCAAAAAGTTATCAAGACTTTTACCTTAGTAAGCTAAGTGTGGTGGTACATATCTGCGGTTCCAGCTGTGTAGAAGGCCATATGTAGGAATGTGTAGGATCGTGGGGTGAGGTTGGATTATGGGTGATAGCCTACCTGAAACATAACTAAATGCCATTTAAAAGGCCTAGCTGGGAAGGTGGCTCAGTGCTTGAGTGCTTGCCTTGCATGCCTGAGGCCCTGGGTTCGATTCCTCAGCACCACATAAGCAAAAAAGGAAAAACAAAACAAAACTGGAAGAGGCGCTATGGCTCAAGTGGTAGAGTACTAGCCTTGAGCTGAAGAGCTGAGGGACAGCGCCCAGGCCCAGAGTTCAGGCCCCACGACCGGACCGAAAAAAAAAAAAGGGGGGTGGCTAGAGATGGGCTCAACTAGAAGCCTGCTTTCTTAGCAAGCCCAGTGCCTTGAGCTCAAATCCCAGAACACACACACAAAAGGGTTGCCACACAGCCAACAGGTTTGATAGGATGAGCTTCTACAGGAATAGAAAAAGCCCTTCTTCAGAAGAGGCCTTGGAGCCAAGGTCTCAGAACTGAACCCCATTGGCCAGCTTGGGTCAGGTGCTCATCTCCAGCACCTGGGATTGGTTACAGTTGAATTCTGTGACCGAACAGCAAAAGGATGATTCCTTACAGCAGCGGCAGGGTGTTGCCTGCCACAGGAGGAAGTGCTTCTGTTCACAGGCATGGTAGCCCCCCTCCCCCGCCAGGGCTGTCCCAGGAAGGACGGTGTGGGAAGACACAGCGGGACGGGGACTGTGTGTGTTTCTGGTGCTAGATCTACGGCAAACCACGACCAGGAGCATCTTCACTGCGTGCACTTGTGTGTTTATTGTCCCCTGTGCTTCTGCCCAGAGCTGTTCCCGACAACTACAAGGTGATCTTTGTGCAGGGAGGCGGGTCTGGCCAGTTCAGTGCTGTCCCCTTAAACCTGATCGGCCTGAAAGCCGGACGGTGTGCCGACTACGTGGTGACCGGAGCCTGGTCAGCCAAGGCCGCTGAGGAGGCCAAGAAGTTTGGGACTGTGAATATCGTCCACCCCAAACTTGGGAGTTACACAAGTAAGTCTTGGGGGGGCGAGCTGAGTGGTGAGTGCCGATGGAGGTCACCCTGGCCTGCACGTCTGTGACCTCTGCCCCCTAGTGGGGTGGTGCGGACTTGGTTCTGTGGGAAGAGCACCCCGAGGCTGGCTCATTTAGCAGAACAGCCCGGGGCTTCCACCAGAGAAGCCGGGTTCGAGTCTCTGGTTTTCCTCCTCTGTGGCTTCATGGTTAGGAAGGCAGGCGGTCTCCTCTCTGGCTGCAGCTGCTCTCCTGACCTTTCGTCTCTCAAGTTCTAAGACCTTCACCAGAACATTCCCAGCAACCTTCTGCCCCGTCCCCCAGTCTGAATCGGGCCCTGTCTGTGCTGGAGTCACATCCTGCCTCTGGGTCCCTTGGAACCACATGGGCTGAGTGTGGGAGAGAGCTGGGGGCCTGGGAAGAAATTTCTAGACAGAAGCCACACGTGGGATAGATGGGTGCTGGGTCACAGAGGAAGACCCCATCTGTACCCTGCATATCATCTTTGATGCCCCCCCATTCTAAGTGGGGGACTGCCCTGGTGCTGGGGTATGGGTAGCGATGGCGATGGATCTGTCAGTGTGAGGTGTCTGGACTCACCTTTCCCTGACCAGCAGCATCAGTTCCGAATTTCAGTGTCTCCAACTTGATTTCTTGTGATAGAAATTCCCGACCCGACTACCTGGAACCTTAACCCCGACGCATCCTATGTCTATTTCTGCGCCAACGAGACGGTGCACGGCGTGGAATTCGACTTCATCCCTGACGTCAAGGGGGCAGTGCTGGTCTGCGACATGTCTTCTAACTTCCTGTCCAAACCAGTGGATGTTTCCAAGGTGCTGTATCAAAGAGGCTGGGTGGGAGGGGTACCAGGGACTCGGTTTATCCAAGGGGTATTGGTGTACCAATACAGGACAGGCCAAGAGAGTGGGGGGCTGGCAGAGTCCCTGAAGCCCAGGCAAAGCCAGGGAACAGGCTGATGGACCTGCCCTGTAGACGTGATTGCCTCCCCCTCCCAGTCCTCAGGGGGAAGTGATCTCCAGGATCGATAGTGATGACCAAAGTAATTAAAACCTGTTATCACTGAAGAGTTAAAAATAGGCCCAGAAATGGAGGGACAAAGGGTGAACAAATGCCGCAGTGGCCTCTCGAGACACTGTGTAGGTGGAAAACTGGAGGAGAGCAAGGGAAGGAGTGACACTGTCCACAGAGAAACGCACCCTTCCCCTGACTCACGGAACTGTGGCCCCTCTACATCACCTTTCTAATGACAAAAGATAAAGATATTAAAAATGGTATAAATTGTACAAATAGGCTTTCTGTTAGCTGCTGTAGGTTTTTCCTTGGTTGCCAAGAATATCTGGAAGCCTCATTTTGTGAGTTTATTCTTGGTTTTTGTGATAGGGCCTCACTACGTATAATAGCGTGGCTTTGAAGTGGAGATCTCCTGCCTCGGCCTCCTGAGGGGTGTACCCCCACGCCTAGTGTTTCTGTTTTACTTACTTTGTGGTGTGGGGACCAAATCCAAGACCTTGCATGTGCTAAGCCGATGCTGCACCACTGAGCTACACCCACAGCCTAGAGAGGCCATTTAACAGGTTGGTTTGGATGTAGAATGAGGTGCACCATGGACATGTATAAGGCCTTTCCATTGCTGGGCTTGGCTTGCGGTTCCAGGATCCTAGAGAAGCCTAGGAGTTGGGCCATAGAACACCGTGCCTGGGAAAGCGGTTGAGAACTTGCCTTCCACTGCGCATGAATGACTACAAGTGATTCTAAAGTAGCATGTCTTTCTTTCTTCTTAAAGTTTGGTGTGATTTTTGCTGGTGCTCAGAAGAACGTTGGCTCGGCCGGGGTCACGGTGGTGATCATCCGGGATGACCTGCTGGGGTTCTCCCTCAAAGAGTGCCCCTCGGTCCTGGAATACAAAGTGCAGGCTGGTAACAGCTCACTGTACAACACGCCTCCGTGCTTCAGGTAACCCTGGGATGTAGCGGATTTCCCTTCTGGGTGGAAGGCCCCCAGCAGCTTCCAGCGGCCCGGTAGCATCCGCTGCGTGGCTCACCTCTTCGCTTGACCCCGTGTCCACAATCTGCTCAATTCTTGTTGCCTTGTATTATTTTTTGTTTGATCCTGGTAATCCGTGACCTGGCCGTTCAACCATTAACCCAAGGCTCTCTGTAGATGAGGTCCTGTGTGCTGCTTTCAAACAAATAGTTCAGGGTCGGGGATGTAGTTTACCAGTAGAGAATGTGCTTTGATCCCTAGCTGTGTGTGTGTGTGTGTGTGTGTGTGTCTCCAAACTTTGCCAGCAGTGCAGCTTTCTTGATCAAAATTATCAGGTGCTGGTGCAGCAGTGATTTCACCTCTCTCAGGACTTTGTTACAGTTCCCTTTCTGTGAAGGAAAATGTCTCCCACACCATTTAAGAAACAAAGGGCTAGGTAGGCACTGGTAGCTCATAACTATAATCATAGCTACCCAGGAGGCTGATTGAGGGTCTAGGTTCAAAGCCAGCCCAAGCAGAAAAATCCATGAGACACTTATCTGTAATTAACCACCAGATGCTGGAAGTGAAGCTGTGGCTCAGTGGTAGCATGCCAGCCTTGAGTGAAAAAGGTTCTGAGTTCAAGCCCTAGTTCTGGCAGAAAAAAGGAAGAAAGGAAGGAAGGAGAAAAATCGTTTTCAAGGTTAGAAGGGTGATGGACGTTTCCTCTGGGTTTTGTGCAGCCCTCGTGATGCCTGATTTTGTCCTGATTTTGTGCCCCGTCTTTCCCAGGAAAGGGGATCCTGGTGCTCATTTGCTCTGATGCTTCTTGCACCCAGACCGACAGAATTCTGAGTGATACAGGCTGGTGCCCGCTTGAAGTCTTTTGAACTCAGCAGGGTTTGACAGTGGTTCGGTGAAACCTGTCTCACAGGCAGGTGAACAAAGTCCTGTCCCTCCTCTGAGCTGGACTGTAAGGCCCGCAGGAACCCAGAGCCCTGCCTGTGTCCTGCCCACCGAGCAGGGGAAGCCCCTCTCTGAAGAGACGCTGTGGTGTTCTTTTTCTCTTCTGTTCGGTTTGGTGTCTGGAAAGATGCAGTCAGGTGTTCTTTTAATTCTTGTGTTTTTTTGTTTGGCGTGGTGAGAGCTGGAAGGCCTAGGGCCCTCCTTGCGTCTTTGTTTAACTGTGCTGGATCAGCTGCGCCACAAATAGCTGCTCTGTTGCCCTGAGAAGTGAACTGGGTTGGAATAAAGGGTCGCAGTGCGACTCTCTTCAGCCTGTGGTAGAGCACCCTGGACCAGCTAGTGGGTAGAGATAATGATGCTTAAACACCCCTGATAGCCCCCCCAAAACGTGTGTGTGTGTGAAGTGATGCTATGGCTCAAGTGGTAGAGCTCTAGCCTTGAGCACAAAGAGGCTCAGGGATAGTGCCCAAGCCCTGACTTCAACCCATTTTCCCCACTTACATCTGACTGAAGCCCTGATCATGAATTTGTTGTAGCTGCAATATGAAGCAAGGTAATACACTTCTGCTTCAGTTACTTTTAGTTCAATAAGAATTAGAGGCAAAGGATGTACTGACCAGTCTGCTGTTCTTACTGGACTGGGGGGAGATGGTGCAACCCCCCCACCCCTCTTGAGCTTGTGCAGAAGGCTTAGTGTGGCCCATGCTCTCACCTCGGCTGGCCAGCTGCCTTCTCCAGTGTGGGAGGAGTGAAGCCTGAGTGTACACACAAGGAGTGCCGGGAGGAAGGGGGGTGTGGGGAGACCAGCTCTCCAGCTGTCCTTTGTGCTCGGCTCTGTGACTGACACCTGCTTCCCAGAAAGTAATTCATCAGCCTCCAGCCAGAAAGCTTCTGATCAGTCAGGAAGATGGCCTGGCTGCTGTCCAGGGTGCTTTTCTAAGCCCTTATGCATGCAATCATTTGTATTGCTTGAGAAAGTTTATAAAAGTAACATAGTCTTAGCCAAAGTTTCCAAGTGAAGCTGGGCGCAGTGGCTCGCGCCTGTCATCTCGGCTACTCGGCAGCTGAGATCTGAGCAGCACGAGTCAAAATCAGCTTGGGCAAGAAAGTGTGAGACTCCTATCTCTATGCCAGAAGTGGAGCTGTGGCTCAAGTGGTAGAGCTCTGACCTTGAGCAAAAAAAAACACCCGACAACTCAGGAACAGACCCTAAGTTCAAGCCCCAGGTCTGGCTCAGAGAAAGAAAAAAAAATTGAAGGAAGCAAAGTAACCAGGGCAACCAGGGTAGCTGCTTGCTGTGGATTCTCAAAGACCCTTCCTGGACATCTGCGAATCTAGCCATCCCCATGGCTACCAGAATTCTCCGTCAGCTCCCTTATATAATATAGCACAGTAATTAGAGATGCCCGGGATATGCTCCAGTCATGTCAAGATTACTTAATGACATCTAGTGGAATGTAAACCGTGTAATGGTTGTTATTCTATTGCATGAGGAGCAGGAACCAGAACAAGTATGTCCATGTTCATTATAGACTCTTGTCCCTAATTTCCTCCAAGTGGTTTTGGTACCACGTGTTTTTTTTTTTGTCAGTTGTGGGGCATGAACTCTGGGCCTGGGTGCTGGCCCTCAGCTCTTCAGGCTCTACTGCTTGAGCCACAGTGCCATTTCCGGTTTTCTAGTGGTTCAGTGGAGATAAAAGTCTCATGGAGTTTCCTGACTGGGGTGGCTTTGAACCATGATCCTCAGATCTCAGCCTCCTAAGTAGCTAGGATGACAATTGTGAGCCACCAGCTCACAGCTGCTACCAGGTTTTATGGATGCTGAACCTACAGACAGTGAGTGAACGCAGTCATATTTAATCATGGAAATGGAATGTGAGCTGAACAATTCAGACTGTATGAATTCTTTTTTTTTTCTTCCACCCAGCAATATGCCCTGGTGCAAATTCCTACCTTAGCTGTTTGTTCTTGTAATGCTGTGTGGTATTTTGCAGAATCAGACTCACTGATTTAAAAACTGAACAGGCTTAGATGATACATCCGTGTGTTTGCAGTTGGCTCTTTCAGAAGTGAAGCTGTGACTCGATGAATGGTGATGCGTGGGTGGTGGCGAGAATGGAGAAAGCAGGCATGAGCCTTAGAGACTCCCGGCGTTGTAAGATTTCGGCAGGAGGAAGTCGAGCATAAAGGAGTAGGGATTGCCAACCCCAGGGCTTCTGTGAGTGGAGCCACGGCGTCTGGAGGTCAGTGCCGGACCTGTCCAGCTGGGTAGTAAGGCTCAGGAGCTTCCACTCCAGGGTCATCTTTTCCCTGAAGGGCAGCCTGCATCCTTCAGCTCTAGCCACTGCTTGCTGAGGCTTTGTAGACGGAGGATGAGGGTTGAGGGCTGCCTGCGGGCAGACCGTGACAGTGGGCATGCTTTCTGCCGATTCTGCCCGCTCCGATCCTGTGATGCCAGTGGGCGAGTGTGAGCGGAGCTCTGCTTGGGTCTGTGGCACGCACGGCTGGTGTGTGGTTTGTGGGTGTAGTGGAGGAAGAGTTTGGGGTTGAACGGGACACTACAGAGTGTTGTTTTGGAACGAGGGCAGGCAGCAGCATTTCTAGAACTCACGCATGTATATTTTGCTGCAAGTGTGCTCTGTGCTCCCGGAGTGGCTGGCTTGGCCTCTCTGATTGTGATGCTTGTTGACTGCCCCCAATAGCAGTGGGCTAGACTTGCGACCTGCATAGTAGAATCATGACTTTATCTCCCACTTCGGCTGGCTCTCAGGTATTATCCTCAGAAACAGACCACAGTGACTGTCAGAAAGCTCACTACTCGTGTGTGTGTGTGTGTGTGTGTGTGTGTGTGTGTGTGTGTGTGTGAATTCTGGATCGTGAACTCAGGGCCTTAGGCTTTCTTTAGCTTGACCACTTGAATCATGCCTCCAGTTTTGGCGTTTTGCTGTTAATTGGATAAGAGTCTCAGATTTATCTGTCCTGGTTGAAATCTTTAGTTCTCAGTCTTCCGAGTAGTTAGGATTATAAGCATGAACCCAGTACGCATCTACTCTGGTTAGTTCTGAGATGTGCTCTGGCTTTTTGCCTGGCCTGTCCTGCACAGTGATGCTCCTGTTTTATACTTCCTGCCATAATGCGGTGATGGGGGCCACCATCACAACCAGCCTGCCTCCACCATTAGGCCAGGCTGTCTCTGCCCATGGAAGGTACTGAGTGTGGACTGTGGGATAGACAAGGTGAACAATGGGAGCTTCTCGCCCCAGAGCTATAAGTACACAGAAGAATAAAATAAAGGAACACATGATAGAACGGGTAAGGGGGTTCAGGAAGCCAAGAGCGAAAGGGTGAGGGGACGGATAATTCTGCCTCAGGGTAGGGAAGGGTGCTACATGTGTGTATCATGTTTGCGCGGGGTTTAGAGGGACAACTGTAGCATGCATTGAAGTGTCCTCATTAGTCCTCTTTTCCGTGGGCCCTGGTGGGCCTAGAATTGGGATGACCCAGCTGGGTGTGGTGACATACCCATAATCCCAGCACTGGCAGGCCGAGGCAGGAGGATTGCAAATCGGAGGCCAGCGTGGCCTGGTGAGACCTGTTTGCCAAAACAGTGACGAGCAAAGGAAGACAGAATCGCGTTGATGGGGCCCCGTTTCCTGCCCTTCTTGTTTACAGGCTTTTATCTCACCTGCTTCTCACCATGTCTTCAAGTCCTGTCTGGAGGCCACTGGAACAGTTGGCTGTGAACTCAACTGGATTTTTCTTGTAACCCCTTTCAGCATCTATGTCATGGGCGTGGTCCTGGAGTGGATTAAGAACAACGGCGGGGCGGCCGCCATGGAGAAGCTGAGCGCCATCAAATCTCAAATGATCTACGAGATCATCGACAACTCTCAAGGCTTCTACGTGTAAGTCCCTGGCTTTCTAGCTCACATTTTGCCTCTTGTGAATGGAGACCTGTCGTCCTTTCCCTAGGGCACTGTTGTGAGTGCTGGTGGTCCTGTACCGGGTGGTAGGGGTGATGGCACTGAGCTCTGCCCTCCTTCCCCCATCTCAGGAAGTCCAGGTTTTAGGACCCATGTCTGCGGGGTGGGGTGGGGGAAGGGTAGTGATATTTCTAACCCCAAACAAATTCCCTGGGAAGAATTCATTTTCTCCCTGGAGTAGAGATGTTTGCTTGTCATTAGGGTAAAAGAACCTGGGCTGGGAATTGTTGACTTTATTTATCTACGGCCTCTTTGGGTATAAGCACTCTGGCCCCTTTCCTTTACAAAAGAGTTTATTGCTTCTCATTCTGACCCGATACTCTGAATGGAGTTGCTGATGGCCGGTTCAATGTTTATAGGACAAAATGATTAGTGAACATGTCTTGACTTGCCCAAGATCCATACAGAGAATGTACGTATCATGCGTTAATTTCCTAGGGCTGCTGTGCTGTAATAGAGTATCTCAAACTTGGCAGCTTAGAGCAACAGGAATTGTTATCCTTCTGGGGGCTGGAAGCTGAGAATCAAGGTATCCCTAGGGCTTGTTCCCCTCCAAGGACCCCAAGGAAGAAGCCATTTCTTGCCTGTTCCAGCTTCTGGTATCCCTAGGTGGTCCTGGCTGGTGGCAGTCTTTTGACTGTTGTCGTAACCTTCTCCTTCCAGCTCTGTCTGGTTTTCTGTCTCTTACAAGGACAGATCATTTGATTTAGAGGCTCCCCACACCCCAGGATGGCCCGGGATCCTTTCGGTAATTAATAGAATTTTTTCCATATGTATGTATATATATATATATATATATATATATATATATATATTATTACACACATACGTGTGTTCTCAGTTACTAAGCCAGGACTCTTCATTCTGAGTATTCAGTATACTTGGAGGTCTACTCTGTTATGGTAGACATATCTGCCCAACAGCAATGAAGGGAATTGGGTTCCCTTTGAGAATCCCATGCACCGTAGAGAATAGAAGAAAATGAAGCCTTGCTCCTAACTTGGAATTTTTAAGGCCAGTCTTCTAATAGAAGCATGCCTCTGGCTCCCTCACAGGGGGTGTACTCCTTGCGAAGCATGCCTCTGGCTCCCTCATGGGGGGTGTACTCCTTGCGAAGCATGCCTCTGGCTCCCCCATGGGGGGTGTACTCCTTGCGAAGCATGCCTCTGGCTCCCCCATGGGGGGTGTACTCCTTGGACCGCCAGCAGCTGCTGCCATCACTTTGCCTGCTTCGGTGAGTGCCTGGCCTGCAGTGACTGCAGCCCCAGGCCCTGAGGGAATGGGCTTGGCTCGAAGCCCTGGCCTTTGGCTTCCTCTCCACATGCCAGCTGGGGGAAGGGTGCTCACTGCACATTCCTGTCTGTGCTGCGCAGTGGAGGGACGTGCCAGCTGGGGGGGTGGGGACGGGTGGTTGAAGGAAGTTTTCACCCTGGCTCCGATGCCACTCTGAGAGGAGTCGTGGAAACCCCACCATTGCTTGCTGGGACCGTTCATTCTTTAATTGTTACTATAAAGGTTTGTACAGAGGGGCTGCAGTTACCTAAGTACCTTTTTGGACAGTACACCCCTTCCCTTGCTCTCCGTTTTTCCCTCCCATCCCCACCCATAAATTGTGTAGTTTGTTTTCAGCATAGCGTCTGGTGAGTACTGCTGCTGCCTTTGTTCACCTTTGTCCCTCCCTTTCTATGCCTCCCTGTGAACAAACAAGACAAAAAGAAAGCAAAAACAGCAACAAAGGAAAAAGCTCTTGTTTCCATTTCCTGGAGTTCATTTTGATAAAGATTATTTTATATGCTCAGATGAACATAGGCATTGAACCTTTGTGCTCCTAAGAGTATTCCCCTTTGGTCTCATTGTGTGTGACTGTCTAGAATCCTGTATAATTCACCATGTTCTGGAGTATTGGCTCTAGCTTCCACACATGAGAGAAAACATGCACCATTTGCATCTCTGAGCTTGGCTTACCTTATACAGCATGATTTGTCCTAGGTCCATCCATTTCCCCTAGGTGACATGCTATTATTCTTTCTAATGGCTGTAAAATTCCGTTGTGAATAGGCACCATATCTATTGGAACCATTTTAACATGTAAGATTAGGAGTAGTTGGTCCAAGGAGTTCAGAGCCAAGTGCTAAAAAATGTGACATGGCCTTGAAATGGGCTGTTGCTATTTAGTTTTTGGAAGTCCCTTTGGTGTGAGAAGAATGAGAGGGCAGGAATACTTCTGGGCACTTCTCAGAAGGCAGGGACAGCCCCACATAGGCCTAGAGAGAAGAAAGCACAGTGTGTTTGGAGAGCAGACAGCATGTTGCTGGTGTGGGTGGTGGATGCTAGCATTGGAAGGAAGGTATGGAGAGCACTGAGGTCATCTCTATTCATCTCTCCACCCACTTACACCTGTCCATCATCCATCCATCCATCCATCCATCCATCCATCCATCTGTTCATCCGCCCTGTCAGCCACCCAAGTCAACTAATGGCTCCTGAGCACCCACTCTGGGCTAGCCTTGTTCTAGACTTCCGGGGCTCCCAGAATAACTAGTCGTCCATGGCTCCCCCCAGAGTACCCAGAGCCCTAGAGTAAGTAAAGCACCTGGTGGTTATTGTAGAAGAGAGACCGGTTTTTACTGTTGGTGGGCTTCCATGTATTTCTCAGAAGGTGAATTAGACACAAAATTAAGAGGATGGAGGGATGGTTACCTCCGGAGAAAAATCTGGGGAACTTGAAACACAAGAAGGGTAGAGAGAAGGCTGGGGATCTCCTCAAGTCGGCGGGTCCTCCTCTGTGGGGGTTGGGGAATTGGGTCACCCTCAGACCCAGAGCTCCTCCCTCACGCAGGAGCAGCCCTGCCCCCCCCCCCCCTCTTCACAATCAGCCTCTATCTGGGAACTCCTGTCGCCCTGTTGGCTGCCTGCCTAGAAAATCTCATTACCAGAGTCAGGAGCCAATGTTAGTCTCCCTCTGTTCACAGCTGAGTTCTCAGGAAGTTCTTCACTTTGGTTTTTTTTTTTCAACAAAGCCCCCACAGGGGGATGGGCAGTTGTGGAGGGGGCGCTGAGGCCTCCATTAGTCTTAATGGCGTCGTACTTACTGCCTGTGCTTCTTGGGTTTTGTTTCTGATGTCTACCCCCTCCCGCGCCCGCCTTGTGTTCTGGAGGGCAGCATTTTTCCTACGCAGGTTCTAGCTGGTTGCTAGGCCTCCAGCAGCCCTGTCACTAATCCCCAGTAGAGAAGTCTGAGACCAGACAACCCAGGAAGTTGACACGTTCATTTCACAGCCTGAGCCCTGGCGAGTCGGAGCTGAGCCACGGGCCATCCGGGGGGAGCAGAGCATTCTGGGCCTTAAAAGTCACGTGGTCTGACTTCCTAAGCCTGGGTTTTCAGATTGGCTCCTGGGATGGTTGTGAGAATGGAGTGGAAATGTGTGATTAACACCTAAGGGTGAAGAGAGTGAGCTCAGTGCCACCGAGTAGCATTTCTCATTGTTAACTCTTTCTGGCTGTCGTTGTACAAAGCGCTTTGGAGGCTGCTGACACACAGCGTTGAGGACACAGAGTGTACTGAAGATGTCCAAGTGACAGATCCGTTCTGTATGGAAGGGTGCTGGCCTGAGCCACACCCAGCTTGGGACCCACACCAGCCTTGCAGTCAGTTTTGGCTCTTGTTTCTCCCATATCCCTTTAGCCAGTTAAAAGTGACCCCCTCCTGAAGTTTCATGGTAAGCCTGGCGGGGGCGCAGTGGCTGATGAGCCCACAGTGCTGCCTGCCGGCCTGCGCTTACTATTCAGAACACGTTTGAGCCAAGGTTGGGATTTAGGAAGGGACTTAGGAATTCAGATTTCTTACTTCTTAACCTGTGTGTCTCTGAAGCTGGGCCAGAGACATTGTGTGACCTGTGCTTCTGTTGTTTGGGTTTTTTTGTTTGTTGGTGCCAGTACTGGGACTTGAACTCAAGACCTTGCATCTTTGCTTGGCATTTCCACTGAAAGCTGGCACTCTACCACTGTGAGCCACAGCTCCATTTTTTGTTGGCTAATTCGAGAGAAGAGTCTCGTGGAGTTTCTTATGAGGGTTGGCTTAGAATCCTGTCCTTCCCGAGAGGCTGGGATTAGAGGTGGGGCTTGTGTTTTGACAAAAGATGGGAGCTTACCTTTTTCAGGAAGTAAAGACCTGTCATCCACGCAGGCTACACGCAACCAAGGCTGGCAGTGGTTATTCATAGAAGCACTGGGCACTGGAGTTGGTGCTCCATGCTTGAAATTCCCGGTGCTGTGTCTTGGGACAGGCCTTGGTTCTTCGTTGTTGATGGTTCTTGGTTCTTTGTTGTTGGTGGTAGTTGTGGGGCTTGAACTCAGGACCTGGACACTGTTCCTGAGCTTTTGTGCTAGTGCTCTATCACTTTGAACCACAGCTCTACTTCCTGTTTTCTGGTGGTTCATTGAAGATAAGCCTTTCCTGCCTGGGCTGGCTTTGAACTGTGATCCTCAGAACTCAGCCTCCTGAGTTGCTAGGATTATAGACATGAGCCACTTGCACTGGCCCCGTTTCTTTTGACCAAGGAAGTTCCTAACAAGAGCTTTCCAGCAGCCTCGTAAGTCTTTCTCTAAGTCTCTCTTGTGTGCCATAGTTAGATTCCCTGTCTTCAAGTCATGGCCTCTCATTGGCCAAAGGTTCAGCTGGGTTCCCCGCAGAGCTTGTCCACAGGGCCTGCCATGGATCGGGTCCCGCCTCTCCCAGCCACCTCTGGCCAGAGGCCAACACAGCGGCTAAGTCAGAAGCTTCTGTCCCTCTGTGGTATGAGATATCTTTCCTCCTACTTCTGGCCCTGTCTGCCCACACATCCTCCCTCTGAAGCCTGTCAGAGTTGTGAGCCAGCACCGGCTGACACCCTAGAACCCTGTACAGATCCCTTCAGGGCTGCCCCTGCTCGCTTGGGAGCCTTCCTTCCGCTCTTGGATTGTTTTTCTTTTTCCTCCCCTGTTATCGGAGACACAGGGTCATTGGGCTGTGTAAATACCTGTTGCGTGGTGATTTAATCCTCACTCTCTAGTTTTTATGACATGATCGTTTGTGTGTGTGTGGTATTTAGTTCCACACTAGGATGGGTTCATTATGGGGTAGGGGTGTGGTTAACGTGGTCTAGGTTCTTAATTCTTCCTCCTTTTGCTTTTCTTTGTGGGCCAGTCTTGGGGCTTGCCTCAGGGCCTGAGTACTACCCCTTATCTTTTTTGCTCAAGGGTGGCAGTCTACCAGTTGAGCCACATCTCATTTCTGGCATTTTTGGTAGCTTATTGGAAATAAAGATTCTTATGGATTTTCCTGCCCAGGCTGGCTTTGAACTGCCATCATAGGATCTCAGCCTCCTGAGTATCTAAGGATTATGGGCACAAGCCACGGCACTCAGAGCTCTCCCTCCCCCCCTCGCTGTCTGTCCTTGGTTGTGGGCTTGAACTCAGGGTCTGGGTACTGTCCTTGAGCTCCTTTGCTCAAGGCTAGCGTTCTCCCTTTTGAACCACAGCTCTACTTCTGTTTTTTTTTTAATATTTTTTATTGAGATTAAGTAATTACATAAATCTCACAGATTTCACAGTATTGTGGGATAGTGATACTTAAAGTCACAAACACATTTTAACCTTCACAAGGCAAATTGTCATTATCATGGTCTATAAAGTTTGTCAAATCTATAAACTTTGACAGTACAACTATTTCTTCCACATCCGGTGACACGTGCGTTTCTTTCCTTTTGCTTAGTGTGCTTCTGTGTTTTGAGTGGTTAATTGGAGATAAGAGTCTCATGGAAAGCCGGGCGCTGGTGGCTCACGCCTGTAATCCTAGCTACTCAGGAGGCTGAGATCTGAGGATCGCGGTTCAAAGCCAGCCCGGGCAGGAAAGACTGTGAGACTCCTATCTCCAATAAACCACCAGAAAACCGGAAGTGGCGCTGTAGCTCAAGTGGTAGAGCGCTCGCCTTGAGCTGAAGAGCTGAGGGACAGCGACCAGGCCCAGAGTTCAAGCCCCACGACCGACAAAAAAAAAAAAAAAAGAGTCTCATGGAATTTTTTTTTTTGCTTGGGCTGGCTTTGAACCGTAACCCTCAGATACCAGCCTCCTGGGTAGTTAGAATTATATCTGTGAGCCACTGGTGCCCGGCTTCGGCTGTGTGTGTCTGTGTCTGTGTGTCTGTCTGTCCTGGGGCTTGAGTTTAAGGCTTGAGCACTTATCCTTGAGCTTTTTTTTGCTCAGCATTCTACCACTTGAGCACAGCTCCATTTCCAGCCTTCTTCTTTCTGTACTTAATTGGAGATTGGAGCCTCACAGGTTTTCCTGTCAGGTTGGCTTCAAACCACAGTCCTCAGATCTCAGACTCCTACATGGTGACAATTACAGGTATGAGCCCCTGGCATCTGGCTTTTTGTTCTTAAGTGTGCGTATTAGTGCAGCACTTCTATGCCTAGACCCTCACACTGGGAGCTCTTGGCGGCAGGGTATTGAGAGGTTGTCAGCCGTGAAGCCTGCTGCCCGTGAAAGAAAGGGGCTGGGACTCAAGCCCAGTCTCTTCCAGATAGTGGCACCTGACTCCCAGGAATTAGGGATGTGTGTGCTCAGGGTGCTTCTAGCTCTGCCTTTGTTTGCTGTATATCGAGTGACTCCCTGTAGGAGTATAAGAATTTCAGAATTGAGAAAGGGCTGGGTGCTGGCGGCTCTTGCCCTGTAATCCTTGTTACTCAGAAGGTTGAGATCTGAGGATTGCAGTTCAAGGCCAGCTCAGGCAGGAAAGTCCGTGAGATTCTTCCCTTCAATTAACTGCTAGAAAACTGCAAGTGGTACTTTGGCTCAAAGTGGTAGAGTGCTAGCCTTGAGCAAAAGAGCTCAGAACAGCACTCGAGCCCCGAGTTCAAGCCCCCTGGGGAAAAAAAAGCAAGAATGAAGAGACAGAACAGAATTACATGTTGGACTTCTTTTTATTCTATTTGTCTCCTTTGCTTGTTGCTGGAGGATCATTTGTCTGCTTTTTCCCCAAATCTGCCAACTACTAACCTTTCCTAGACAGAAATACATTGGTCATTTATTTCTGATAGTCTCTGTGTTCCTTATGCAAGGGGTTTGGAATTAAACAATGGATATAGCAGCCTTGATTCGGTGGCTCATGCTGTGGCTCACGTGGTAGAGTGCTAGCCTTGAGCAGAAGCAGCTCAAGGACAGTGACAGGCGCCGAGTTCGAGCCCCAGGACTGGTGCGTGCACGCACACACACACACACACACACACACACATAGACACACATAGACACACACACACACACCCAAAAAAAGATGGATGCAGCATTTAATATGCTCTAGGTCTTGTTGCATTTATTTTAATTTTATTGTATTCTGTGATTTTATGATATTCTGGTTATTTTTGCGGTGCTGGGGATGAATCCAGAGCTTTGTCCTGCTGAGTAAATTTTCTCCAGCTCTGACAGTTTGGAGTGGTGTCAGCTCCATTAGTTACCTAGCTCTGCGGCGTGGAGTGCCCAGCACTTAATGATCTGGGCTGGGTGCTGCTTCTGGGCTCTGGCCTCTCGTTCAGCTGGGTCGCCGATGCTTTGGCGTAGTTGCATGCGCCTGGCGCTGGTGTGGTTGCTAGCTCAGGCCTCCACATTCTTCAGTGTGGCCTCCCCCAGATTCTTTATCCGTATTGACACTAGAGATGCTTGCTTGCTTTTTTTTTTTTTTGAACAAGGTCACACTGAGATTTGCCCACATCAGCTGGGATGACAGGTTCACTGCCACACAGACTAGTGTGTAGCATCTCTTGAAGTTGGTTCTGTCGGTATTCCCACTGTGTAGATGAGAGAGGTTAAGTAAGATCTTCAAGGTCACGTGGCTTGGGACAGTAGAAGAATACACAGTGACGCGTCTCGGTCGCTCTTAAGCATTCACAGCATGGTGAGAGCCAGCTTCTTAGTCTCTTCAGCCTCGCAGAGGAGGGCTGCTGGGCAAGGGAGGCTTCTTCCTAGCCCCGGCACTGAGCCATTACCTCTAGCGTGACATGAGCGCTCCGCCTGCTATCCACATGAATGGTTAAGGCTGACAAGCTCAGCGCAAGTGTTCCCTGGCTTGACTTTCCTGTGTAAATAGCCTGGGGAAGTTCTTTGGTTTTTAAATTGAATCTCCTGTTACCATCTAGGAGAAAAGTTAAAAGCCCCTAGATTTATTAAGGACAGCCCATGCCCTTGGGAAAGTATCTGCAGTGACAAACAAGTTTTTTCAGATGTCCAGTGGAGCCTCGAAGTAGAAGCAAGATGAATATTCCTTTTCGTATTGGGAACGCCAAAGGAGATGACGCGTTGGAGAAGCGGTTTCTGGATAAAGCACTTGAACTCAACATGATCTCCTTGAAAGGGCACAGGTGAGCCTGCCTGGAGTCTCAGGCTTCCCAGCTTTTTCCAGACGCAGGGTGGGACCACTGCGGGCCGCTCAGGGTGCGGGCCGGCCTGCGGGCACCGTGGCCATGGGGTGCGTCTTCCCTGTTTCCAGCACACGTCGCACAGTGCCAGTGTAGCACAGTGCTCACCGCCAAGACCAGCAGCAGCAAGCTGCATGGTCCCCACCGTCCAGGTCCCCGCCGTCCAGGTCCCCGCCATCCAGGTCCCTGTGGTCCAGGTCCCCGTGGTCCAGGTCCCTGTGGTCCAGGTCCCCGTGGTCCAGGTCCCCGTGGTCCAGGTCCCCGTGGTCCAGGTCCCCGTGGTCCAGGTCCCTGTGGTCCAGGTCCCCGCCGTCCAGGTCCCCGCCGTCCAGGTCCCCGTGGTCCAGGTCCCCGCCGTCCAGGTCCCCGCCATCCAGGTCCCCGCCATCCAGGTCCCCGCCATCCAGGTCCCCGCCGTCCAGGTCCCTGTGGTCCAGGTCCCTGTGGTCCAGGTCCCTGTGGTCCAGGTCCCTGCAGTCCAGGTCCCCGTGGTCCAGGTCCCTGCGGTCCAGGTCCCCCCCGTCCAGGTCCCCGCGGTCCAGGTCCCCGCAGTCCAGGTCCCCCCTGTCCAGGTCCCCGTGGTCCAGGTCCCCGCCGTCCAGGTCCCTGTGGTCCAGGTCCCTGTGGTCCAGGTCCCTGTGGTCCAGGTCCCCGCCGTCCAGGTCCCTGTGGTCCAGGTCCCTGTGGTCCAGGTCCCTGTGGTCCAGGTCCCTGTGGTCCAGGTCCCTGCCGTCCAGGTCCCCGCCGTCCAGGTCCTTGTTGTCCCTCTCTGTCCAGTTTACTTCTTCTCCGCCTCAGATAACGATTGTCTTTGTCCTAAGTGAAGAGTTTGCATGAATGCATAGAATCATAACGCTTTCCTCACACGCGCGTGGAGCCCGTGCCTCCTGTGGGTTTCCGGGTGGGAGCGTGGCCGCTGTGGTCATGGTGCTGCTCCTCTAAGGAGCGGTGCTGTGAAGTCAGCACCCACGGCCTCACTCGGGTGAGGCAAGCGCGCTGTTACTGACCTACATCCTGGTCCAGTGCGTGCTTTGCATGCCTGCCTTCCTCCCCTTCCCCTTCCCTCCCTTCCTCTTCCCCAGACTTGAACTAGGATTCCCTAGGCAGGTGCTCTGCCAGTTGAGCTACGTTCCCAGCCTTTTTTTTTTTTGCTATGGTTATTTTTCAGATAGGGTTTGCATTTTTCCAGGGCTAGTCTATCTCAAACAATGGTCTTGCCACTCCTGCGTAGCTGTTATCTCAGGCGTGTACCACTATACTCATTTTACTGATGGAGATTTTGCTCAGAGTGATCTTGAGCCACAATTGTTCCGTAGTCCCGCCTCCTGAGTCCTGAGTGCCTGGGATCACAGGCATGAATGGCTCTTCGCCTAGGCTTGGTTGGCGGGGAGGGGTAGGGGCAGGGGTGTAGAGACAAGAGCTGTTCCATGCAGCCCAGCCAGACTGTATGGCGGGAGTTATGCCGTATAACTTAGACCTCACCATCCTCCTGCCTCGGCTTCTCACGTGCTGGGATTACAGGCATGCACCACGCCTCCAGCTTGCTGTTGTTCCTCACATTGGCTCTTGGTCATTCCAGGTCAGTGGGTGGCATCCGGGCTTCTCTGTATAATGCTGTGACGGTTGAAGATGTCGAGAAGCTGGCCGCCTTCATGAAAAACTTCTTGGAGATGCATCAGCTATGAATACGTGGAATCAGCCTTTGACCAACGTACAGAGTTTAGAGTAATTTGGGAATGGCTACAGCAACTCTACTGACACGGTGGTTTGTTTTTCTCTGAATGAACGTACTTGTGATAGAGTCTTCTTTTCAAAGAATAACAGCAAAATAACCAGCTCATGGGACCACTAGCCAATGACTACCTTCATTCTAACTTGAACTGGAAGCATTTCAGAAAAAGCCTTCTTGTTGCTTTTTTAACCAATTCCAGGCTGTTCTGTCTTTGCTGGCACTTCTTTTTCTAGCTAGATCTCAGTCTTTGAACTTGCCCAAGCTAAATTCTGCCAGGTGCAGTTAGCTGCAGTTCGAGTCACACGAACTCACCACATGAAGGGTGGGGCTCTCAAGGTGCTGAACATAGACCGCAGTGGGTCTCCCCAACTATTGTGGGGGGAGAGAGCATCCCAGCTATTGGTTGAGGTTGGTGTTGACCATTTGTGAGTGTTTTAGGGTTCCAGACAAAGGGAAAAGGGCCGATCTTTTTACTGTTACACTCATAAAGAGATAAAAATGATTTGCTACATAAATGTTGATAGGATGAGGTCTTTTTAAAATCCCAGTTTATATGTCTCAGCCTTTGTATTTCTTATAAAGCCATTCTCAGTGATGAACATAGAGGCTTCTGAGTTTGTTACAGCCCTTGACATCGACATCATAGCTTCTACTAACATCAGATGTGCCCCTCCCCCCCCATCTTCTCAGCTGCTTCATAGACAGTCCACAAGCTACACCTTCTCCTTTCAGTAGGTGGAAGAAATGGGTTTGTTCCTTGTTTTCCAGTTTTGCCTTGACACTGAACTGTGTTGGACCGACTGGTTTCTATGTAGAGTTTGACAGTATTGCCATTCTACAGTCTTTCCCCTGTTGTGTATCTGGTGTTGGTATTTCATGTTGACTATGTGAAGAACATTAAAGTTCTGAATCATTGAAGCCGTTGTCAGTGAGTTCTTCCACCCCCTTTCAGACCAGTGCTCCTTGCTAAGTGTTAGCTTGTGTTGGGGGTGTCTCAGGATAGTGGGTGTCACATAGGAATTAAGGACAGCAACTCAGAGAGAACTTGGAAAGGCAACGTTTACTTCTGCAGAAGGACCGTCCTACCCACAGGAAGCCGAGTAAGCGAGTGTGCCGGGTGGGCAGTGTGCACAGCTTTGTTCTAATTGGTCAGAACTTAGGTTCACAGTTCTGTGTGATTGGCTGGTTTGAAGGGGGTCAAAAGTTTCTGAGCAATCAGCCAAACTGGGATATCTGGCCACAACTTGTCAGGAAAAACAACTCTTACTCAGCTGGTACTCTTAGCACTTGATTCATGCCTCCAGCCCCTAGAACGCTAATAGCTATAACAGGACGTGACTGAATTGAAACAGCTCTTCTGTGAGAGGGAGGTGCCCTTCAGATGTCATACAACCGCTTACTAGTCTAACTTCTACCATGGGGAAATGAGTCTAAAATAGCCCGTTGTGAGAGTCAGATTTAGATCTTGTGCAAGCATGTTTTGAAAGTTTGCGCCAGCGTGGTAGCTTGTCATTGGCTTTTGGAATGGACACCATCAGAACCATTTTACAGTTCGGCTCGTGGCCTGAAGTTGTGTCATCTCCATCCCTTTGCCCTAGCAGTGTGCTAGCAGCATGGCTTTGAGCTCTTCCTGTGCCACTTGATTGTGTAATAATGAAGCACTGATTCCTTTTCTCCAGGTCCCTGCGTGGTTGTGTCCCCAGGACAGGTTTCAGCCTTTTAGACTTGGTTCTCAATTGTAAAAGGAAGATTGAACTAACTTCCCTGCACACCACAGGGCTGGATGCAGGATATAAGGAATGACCACTAGGAAGCCGTAAAGTAGCCAGAGGCAGCCGGTTGGGGCGCCAGCCATGTGTCCACATTCAGTGCTTGGGGTCTGGCCTTCCCTCGTGTGAACTGGCGCCTGCAATCAGGCCACACTGCTCGAGTCTCAGCCTGGGCAGCTCTGCTGTGTCAGCCCTGGCTGCAGCCTCCTCTCTGCCCCCTGTCCATCCTTTCTACCTTAGCCAATTGGATTATGACTTGCCTTGTGCTCTTTGTTGATAGCATTCAGCAAACAAGCAGAAATCCCCGCTCTCAAGCTGGGCTAGATGGAGTATGCCTGTAATCCCAGCACCTGGCAGTCTGAAGCAGGTTGACAACATCTCTCTCAGAAACACAGGTACACGTAGAAAGTCTGCCAGAGTCAGCCCCTGAGTCCCAGCCTCGTGTCAGCTGGCCAGGCCTCCCTGTGTTAGCTGTTCCTGGAATATGACAGGCCTATGCCCATGTGAGCACAGAGGCCTGGAGTTCTTGTTCTTCATGGTGCCGGCCAGTCTGTCCTTGTTTGTGTCTCCTCTACTGATGCAGTTCGTTTTCTTATGCCCTGGGTGAACACTTCAGGCACTCGTGGCTCACACCTGTATCCTAGCCACTCAGAAGGCTGAGATCTGGATCTTGGTTTGAAGCCAGCCCAGACAGCAAAGTCCATGAGACTCTCATCTCTAGTTAAATCGCCAAAAAGAAGCTGGAAGTGATGTGGCTCAAGTGGTACGGTGCCAGCCAAAAGCAATAAAGCTAAGGGCAACACCCAGTTCCTGAGGTCAAGCCTTAGTACCAGCGAGGCGCGCGCTCGCACACACACGCACACACACACACACACACACAGTGCAAACAACAAAAAACAAACTAAAGAAACCCCCACCTTTCTTCTTTCTAGTGCTGAGTTGGTGGCTTATCTCTCTTCCCCATAAAGCAGTGTGGAGGAACCGAGGATCTTCTGCCTTGTCTTGCCCCTGGAGACGATGAGCCATCACCCCGGGAATGCCGAGTCTTTCCTGCTTTCCCAGTCCTGCACCTGGGCTTGGAGGAGGATAGACAGACACTCCAATTGCATGCATATTGTCTTCAACTTTCAAAAGCTTCGTTTACAACACAACTTCATTTTCTACGTACAGGGTTGAATAGGACTCCATAGTTAAATCTTGAAGTCTGCCTTAGGTCTATGTGAACCCCAAAGCCTTGGGGTACGCTGCACAGCCGTGTGTGCACAGAGATAGCCATTTATCGGGACAGGGAGGACAGCGGAGACTGCAGTTGCTAGAAAGCGTTCTCAAGTGTGCCAGCTTGCCCTCGTAGAGCTGAGTGGAAGGCCGCATTGCTGGCCAGTCGGTCGGAGGATTTACTCCCGGGTTTCCAATTCAAAATGAGGCATGCAGACATGTTGTGGGGGACCTTGTGGTTGCGGGGGGCTGCCTGATATGTCCTGGGCTTCTCTAAACTGTCTCTTCTCCCGTATTGAATTTGAAGCTTTCTCTCCCAGAATTCTTCATTGCTTTTTTGATGCTGGGAGCAGGCTTGAATTCGGGGTTCAGGGAACTGTCCTGTAGCATTTCTTTTTCTGCAGGACTGGTGCTCTGCCACTTGAGCCACAGCGTCACTTCAGCTTTTTGGTGGTTGATCAGAGATAAGAATCTCATGCACTCTCTTGTCCAGGCTGGCTTCAAGCCATGATCCTCAGATCTCAGCCTTCTGCGGAACCAGGATTACAGATGTGAACCACCAGCACGGGGCTTCTCCACATGATTTATGACATCCTCATTCTAATATCATCCCAAAGAGGAAAAAAAAACAGCAACTTAGAAATTTGTTCCAGTGTTCCTTACCTCCATGTGGGTTTATTTGTAGTACTGACGTTCTGCTTGTACAAAAAACAAAGTTGGCTCCTGTCCCCAGCGCCTTTTTCCCTGGCTAGACCGTTTACTGACATACCTGGAGTCTGCTCAGGCGTCATGGACTGTCTGGGATGAAGTAGGCAGGGTAATGTCATTATTCTACCTCTCTTCTTCAAGCAAAGCAGCCACTGAGACCGTAAAAATGGACATGATCATCGATAGGTTAGAGGTCCAAGTCTGCCAAAGGTGTGGCCGAATCTGGCCTTGCTTCCTGTTTTTTGTGTTGTGTCCTTTGAGGGACAGACCATTTCCTCACATTTGATTGGAATGAGCATCCTTAAAAAAAAAGTGAAATGCCACTGAGTCTGCTAAGAAATCAATCACTTTAATTGGAAAGAAGATTCTTCGCTTGTATCGGTAATTGGGCTCTTGGTAATTTAACACTGAAATCCCTGACAGTTTTTGATAAATTGGCTCCTTTTGGGCTAAAACAGGTAAGAAGTTCTAATTACCTCTGGATTCTTCCAGAGTGGATGGGAAATTTTGATGAAAGAGATACTGAGAGAGAAAACCAGCAGCGAGCAAAGATTTACGAATTTTATTTTTTTAAAATAAGATTAAGAATAAAAACAATCCATTTGATGTGACAAGAACAGTAGCTTTTGTCTTTGAAATCCTGGAGATATAAATTGGATTTTCTAAGAAAGTAGGGACCTCAATCTACTCTTATATGGTTATTAGAACACGAGTAACCATAGCTTTGGGCTTCTCGGGAGATGAGAATTTGTATGTTGAGGTTTTGAACAAGAGAGCCTGCACCAGGTTTAAGGAAGTCTGAAATGTTTTATTCCAAGTGAAAAAGTTAGTTAATAGAAATATAGACAGATAGGGACCTGGTATGGTGACTCATGAGGAGCTGGTGATAGGTGGATCACAGGTCAGCCCCCGTGAGCGTGTGACGAACGAAATGAAAAGCAAAGGGATTTGGGGGCGGGGTAGGGGGCTAACAGGTGGAACACATTCCTAGCAATCTTGAGGCTCTGACGTCAATTCCCAGGACTGCAGTAATAATAATAATGGAGATAGGACCAAGATGAATAAATCCACTGGCCCCGTGTCTGTGGGTGTCTAGCTGTTGATTCTGTATGTAGGCCTCGAGGTAACTAACTGATGAGCAGGCTGGACTTGAGGTCCCTTCTCTGGGCCATAGGTTGTTTAGAATTGTCTGTGTTTTATAAATCTATACTCATAGTGTCTCTATCAATATATATATGTATATGTGTGTGTGTGTGTGTGTGTATATATATATATATATATATATATATATATATATATATATAAATGTAGATAGAGTTCTTTTGGTAGAAGATTTGCTAGCTTGGTAGGGAGAGCTTGTGCCTGTTTTACCTAGAGTCACCATTACTCATGCTTGGCATCATAGGCTTGGGATTTGCCCTTTCCATGGAAATAGATCTTTTCTGCACTGCTGAGGATGCGTTTGAGGCACTGTGCCCTGTGTCTGCTGCCCAGTGTTTTACTTCCTAAGTCCGAAGGATGTTCTCTGACGCGGTCTAAAGCAGAAACCTCATCACGGATGCCTTTACCTCAACGTGTGCCAGCACTGTGAGCTCAGCCTTCGCCGCTGTTGCTCAGCCCCATGTCCACACCACAGTCCTGTGCTGCCCATTTCCTTGTCTTCATTGAGACATGAGCCAGTTCTTTAGCCTTTTGTGTGTGTCAGTCCTGGGGCTTGAACTCAGGGCCTGAGCACTTTTCCTGAAAAGCTAACACTCTACCTCTTGAGCCACAGCAACACTTCTGGCTTCTGTGATTAACTGGAGATCAGACTCTCACAGACTTTCCTTCCCAGGCTGGCTTCGAACTACAATCCTCAGGTCTCAGCCACCTGAGTAGCTAGGATTATAGGTGTGAGCCACCAGCGTGAGCCTGGCTTCTTCAGCCTCTTTATGTTTGAGTTCTTGACAGTTTGGGAAAGTCTCTGCAGGTCAGTTGTGGGGAAGATTTGCTCTTGGTTTGTGTGTGTTCAGATCTGTTTCCTGTGACCTGTCAGGACCGCATTGTCGGCAGGGACTCTGTGCAGGTGGGACGGTCCTCAGAGCATGTGGGCAGGTGGCTCTTGATGCTGCCCTCTTAGAGGTTGGGTGAGTCTGAGGCTTCCCCGCTGTCCACTCACTGCTTTACTTGTCTCTTTGCAATGAATAAACTACATACATATTTAGTTATATAGTGTTTTATATATAT